GAATTAAAAAGCACAATTTATATTATTGGATTGAGGTTTTTTTGATCAGACTGTTAAACTGCTTTGTACTTATATGTGAATTAAGCAGCAGCACAGCAAGTTCTTTTTTATTTCTCTCTATGGTTTATTATAGAAAATAAGTATGTTATACAAATCCCATATTGTGTGTGGTTTGCTGTGTTCATTTTATTTTCATTCTCATCTCAATCCCTTGGTCAATTCTGTGGAATTAAGCAAGGGATAACTCAAAATAATACAAAACCAAACATTCTATTTCATTAGTACATGGTACAAAAGATATACTGCATTAACAAATGTATTGTGTGGAAATATTCTGGTGTCCCCATAGCAAACTTCCTAGTCAGGACAAGATATAATTTCTAACTTTCATGAGCCAAAATTTTAAATTTAAAAATCAATATTGGGTATTAAAATGTCTCTCACAGCAGGAATTAATAGACAACCAGACTTACTAGTAAACTTTTCACTTCAATTAAAATAACATTATACATTTTATTACTCTATATATTTTTTTCTAAATTGATTATAATTACTAACTATGATGTACTGTCTAAAACTAATTAACTATAAATTGTTATAGTAAAATGTTGATCTTGATAAACTTTAAGATCATTTTTAAAATCATGTTTACTGATCCTCTATAGTAACAAGTACTGTTTGTGAATTTTGAAAAATAAGATTAAGTGTACAAATCCTCATAGAAATATATAACAACACAGTATATAGAAAAGAGAAACAAGTATAGTCATTTGGTACCCAGGGAGGAATTGTGTGTTTACATCCATATCCTGGGATTAAATTTTTTTTTTTTATTGTGTGTTGATTTTGTCTGTATCTCTCAACATCCATTTGTATGCATTTATCCACCCTTTACCCATTTTGTGTTTCCAAACCATTCAACCCTCCCACCCCATGCACCTACTAATATTGTAGCAAGACAATGTTTGTCCCCTTCCCTATCAGATAGTCTTCATGTTCTTCTGCAGTCTGAAAAGATAAGTGGCATGTAGTGAGTGATGAGAGAGGTAGGGTATGACATTCAGTTCCCACCCTTCAACTCACTGGAAGCTTCCCCGCCAGGCTGGGCCCAGGGACATTAAGAAGCTGTACAATACTCTACAAAGAGTAACAGTGCATGGAGAGGGTCCTTCACCACTCTCAGCTAGAGTGCCCACTACCTTACTAGTGCTTTGTATCCACAATGAAGTGAGGGAGGTAAATCACAGGCAGGGCAAGAGTTATAAACAAGATAGGACCACAAGATCAAGAGAGAGCTTTCACAAACAGGACAGTGACGGGCAAGAAGGACCTTGGTGTCGGAAGTTACAAGCAGGACTAGGGACTATAAGAAAGTCAAAGTGGGAAGAGTCACAAGCAAGACAAGGAACCAGAAGTTTATCTACTAACAGAAAATCTCCATTTTCAAAATCATACATTTAAATGTAGGGATTATGGGTAATACCAGGAGGATTAGTAATTTTAGTAATCATTGATCAAAATAATAACTCAACAGTAAAACATAAATCAAGCAATCACATTTGTAATTTGTTAACTAGTGTTTGAAAACATAAATAAATGCATGTCTGTCTGTCTGTCTATCCGATCTTCGTGGCTGTCTAAAAAAACACAAGGATAGAATTTTATGAAAGCAGATTTTCAATTCAAGAAAATCCTGTTGCTACATATTGAATATTGCAACAATTACTTTCTTCTGCACAGCAATCCACATGAGACATGAATATATCTTTGCCAATTTATAACAAAGAACAGTTTGAAAAGCCTACAGAAAATTCAAAACTGTAACTTATTTTTTAGCAGTCATGAGTGTGTTTGTGCAGAGCAACAGGCAGCCGATATGCAATCGAACAACTGTTTCGAGCCTGTTGAAGATTAATATACCTGATTTTCCAGAAACTTGGCAAATCAGCAGGGACAGATAATGGTCAATGCTATTTACAAATGGTCACGACTTTTTGTAAGAGGCATCTAAAATGCTTCATTCATTTTACGTTCGAGTGTATGTGCTTTTTTCTTTTTTTGTTTTTAAATGGCCGTGGCATTTTATTATTATTTTTATTCTTATTATATATTATGTATATTCAATAAACAGTAAAGCAAAGAAGTAAAGTAAGTAAACAGTACAGCAAAGATCCGTGGATATACTAAAATGAGATGCTTGTGGAAAGTACATGTACAAATGCTGGCTGATGTTTACTGCTGTTATTATTCTTTGTGCTTGTTTAAACTGTAGTGGATTATGTTTTTTTAATACCCGATGATTTAACCATGAAATGTATGGTGTACTTAGATGTAGCAGCTGTGTGTTGATATGGTGCATATGTTATATTTTGGATATCTCCTACAAAAACAAATTCTCAAAGTACGATCTAGCATTCATATGTATAAGGAATACATGATCATTTACAGGGAAGGGTCCCTAATTGTATTAAAAACTCAATTGACAAGTGAAAAGAGAACCTATTTTGCAGAAAGCTCATATATGTTTACATTACGTTAAAAGGGAACTGTAACTTCTCTGTAAATTAAAGCACCTAAGCTTTTGGATAAACCCATGTATGGGTATTAAAATGTCTTTCACAGCAGCGGGACATTTGAGTGCAACCCAAGATGCCATCCAGCTCCCAGGACTAGTGCCCCCAGCAGGTGATCCCTACACTTGCATCGATTGGGAATTCTGCACAGTTTACAACACACACTGCTTAACTACTGATACCCTTTACCTACAACTCTTTTTTTCATAGACAACTTGTATGTTTTTTTACTTCCAATCTAGCAATGGTACCAGCACCTTGCATGATTTATTTATTTCCTTATTTATTTATCCATGTTGAACATACATGTATGTTTAATTTTTTATGCCACTTTTGTGCATTTTTTTTATTGCACCTGACACTAAAAAAGCTTTGGCAAGTACTAAGAATGTTACTTTAAAGATGAGGCTCATGAAGGCTGGACTTGGTTGACTTGTCTTGCATGAGTTTGGCATGGGGTATCTAGCCCTGTTTTCACAAATACACAGACGCATCTTGGTTAAAATGTAAATACAAGTTTGAAAATTACCTAGAACTTGATTTAATCTTTTCACATGTGATGCCCATATTTTTTTTTAATGTGCATTAAAAATTCAGTAACTCATATCACAATCCAGTTCGGTCATCAGCGAATACTGAGGGAAATATTATTTCTGTTTGTCATCCTCTCTCAATGCTATCTCTATGAAGGCTAGCAAGTGTGAAAGCTGGTTTTATGTTAAATGACAGAAAAGGGGCAAGGTTATAACCAAGACTGACAGTGTGCCAAAATGGCTCCATTATATTCCAGGTTAGAGGTAAACACAGCATTTTGAATTTCTACCTTTAATTTTATTTTTCAGTTTAATTTTATTTATTTATTTATTTTAATTATTATATTGCAGTGCAGTGAGCAGGGCACAGGCAGCCGCCTTAGGGTGCACCGGCTATGTGAGCTCAAAATTCCAGTGACCGGCGGGAGGGAAGTGCTCCCTCCTACCAGGCCACCTTCTGGATCCCCGGCGCTGTGTGCGGCTGAATTGGAATCCGAGGAGGCGAGCTAGCTCTAATCTCTCTGCTCTGCTCCCTGCATTATTTTCCGGCTCCCGGCATCAGTAAACAGCCTGCGAGGGAGCAAAGCAGAGAGATTAGCGTTCCCTCGCCACCTCAGATTCCAATTCAGCCGCACGCCTCTAAAATGCATCTTCACCTATGTACCCAAAATTCTTTGCACCGGCCCTGGCAGTGAGATACATTAATGCTTGACATGCCCCAACAGCAGTTGTCAAACAAATCAAGAGACATATTACATAGCTTTTGCGTTGAATAACAAAGGTAAATCATGCACATTTTTGGTAGATATTAATGAGGCTATGTAAGTAAATATAAACATAAGATAAATGTAGGAGAAATGCTAGAGAGATACTTTGAGTGGTAGAAGGTAAGAACAGATGCAGAATGTTACCTATACAAAGGGAAGGAAAACTGTAGCATGTTTATGGTAAGTCAGGTACCAGCTTATGCCCACTCATTTAAAATAGAAGATATCCACTGGGAACACATTATACTAAAGGCACAAAAAAACAACAACTCACAACTGAGAGTCCTGCACTATTAAACAGGGTGTGAAGATTTCGATCAGCATGGGATCATCCAATACCACAAACAGGCCTCAGTCAATCCATCTCCCCTCCTGCTTTAAGATCACCTCTTTCTCTCCCAGAGGTCCCCAATGATAGCCAGGTTTCATGCAGATGGTCGGAGGGAGGGTTGCATTCTTCCTTCCTCTGTGTCTTGCCTTGAAGGGGACCCAGAAGTGCCCTCTTGGGAGTCCACTTCATGGTGAATCGAGCCCCAGGGCTCTGCTGCTTGCAGGGTGCCTTCTGGCTACTGGAGTGGCTGGGTGGGGACACCTCTGAAAGGGCCTCCAGCCCAGTGCAGGATTGATGGACCTTTGCTGCTTTTTTATTCTCTGGCTTCACGGGTGAGGCTTGGAAGGTAGATCTATGCTGTAAGCGCCTCCAGAAGGCTTGGCATATTTGGTCAAACCGGGTCTTGTAGGGTAGTCTCCATTGCTGGAGTTCTGGGTTCTCTTGAGTTTGCAGAGAGTGCAGTGTGGCAGCTGTGACAAACGCCCTGTGGTCTGGTCGTTTGCCATGAGCTCCTGGAGGAGCCTGCTTGCCTGCCTCAGGACTATGGGCCCTGTAATATACCTTTCCCAACGCACTTTAAAAGGCTCTATTCATGTGGTTTATGTTGTTTTGTACTCCAGGAAGAGAGACCAAACGTTAGCCCTTATTCTCTGGAACTGTTTTGGGAATAGGACCATGTGCATGGTCAGACAAATAATTGACTTCCATGAAAATCCCGAACCCCTGAACCAATCTGGGTGATTTTTGGATACCCAGATCGGGGCTATCAGTGGATGTTACTTGTGTGGGCAGTGCTTGACTCAAATATCTTCCAGGCACAGGGGAGGGATTGACCTATTTTGTATGGGAGTGTCCTGGACCTGAGAGCCAATGTAATTGTGTGTATGTTTTTACTGTAGTCTACTCTCAGGTCCAGGAGAGAGTGCCCAGTTGTGGTTGCCATTAAAGAGATTTGTTTTACCCTTCATGAAGTCTAGGCTCATGTTTGGGAGATTGGAGAGCTATATTCACTCTGGGGATTGCTATAATCACTATACTCCCTTGGATCCCAACGATTGATCTTGAAAGAGCAGCCTGCTTCACTCTCTGGACTAGGAGAGGTCTACCTACTAGAAGCTGGATCCTGGTCTTGGATCCAGGGTGGGTTGAGGACAGTGAGACCCCAACCTAGCTGCGGCGGTTTGTGGGGTTTACGGTGGTTTTGGTGTTCCAGTGTGGTGCTTATGGTGCTTGTGACATAGATCCTAATATTGATTTTTGTTATATTCAGAGGAAGCCCAAATTATTATTACAAGTGCACTTGGAGGAGCATGAATTAGACACCAGCCACCTGTTGGTATTCAAAATAAGTTTCTGTCATTTATTCTTCAGTTGGGTTTTTATACATTAAAAAGTAAGTGCTTACGTGCAAATACTCATAGAACAGTAGTAGGAAGGGAGTGAAAGGATGAAAGGAGTACAGATAAGATATAGGGATGAACATCATGTACATATAACAAATAAGTTCAGAGAAAAAGAAAGAACAGAATGATTTGAGAAGAGACAGCTCAGTGGGGGCTATCTGCCCCCGGAACTAGACATATATGGTCTTAAGTGTTGTTTTAAGCATTAAGCATTTCCTGAGTCCAAGTTAGCCAATCTTAATATAGGATATCATAATATGACCTATAAGCTTGAGCCTTGGAATCAAGATAAATTCTATCACACTTGCAAGTACTAGGAAGCAGTGATTGATGGAGGTACCCAGTCGGGGTGCCAGGTGGCCCGTCACAGCAGCCATCTTAGGTGCGTCGTATAACTCGTTGCTCGGCAAGATGTTCCCTTGTTGCAGGTAAGTAGGATTCCCCAGCAGGGACCTGGATATCCCCCACTGGTACAAGGGGAGGGGGGCAGCGGGGCAACAGGAGGGCTGCTGCACAATGCGGACCCTGTGTCAGGAGATCGGCCGTCTCCCCCGGCTACCAGGCTGCTTTCCATGCTAGGCAGACTGCGGTAATCCGGCAATAATATCAGCTTGTGTGACACCAAAGAGCTCAGCTACTTGTCGCCTGTCATCTAGTGGCCCTTGTGTAGCTTTTCAGGGCTATGTTGTGCTGGTTTATCGCAGTTTTATGCCGTGTAGGTTAGGAGCTGGAGCAGCACATGTCTGCTCAGCTCTGTGTTCAGGCCCCGCCCCCTTTAGTTTTAGTTTTAATAGTTAAATGTACTAAATCCTTAAAAATTAATGGATGTTATCTATAAAAAATATTTTTTTTCTGATTCTCACCACTATTATTTTTCTGTTTGTATTGTACCTTATTTATAATAAGTGTAATTTGACTTAAAAAAATAAAGTCTGCTATCTTCCCTAGGTTTTTGAGACCATATCATTTTTCACTGGGGGAAATAGAGTCGTTCTTTCTTATAAATACAGGAAATAAAGTTGTTTAAGATTTGTATTATGCCTGGAAGGGATGAACTTAATTTCCACTGCTTGGTAGCAAGTAGTATATTTTCTGAATACAGAATTCAGGCACATCACTATTCTACAACTTTTGTAATAAAACCATCCACCAAAAAATGTATAGACTAAAATTACTATTTATTTTGTATTTCAGGTTAGCTATAAAATACATGGAGAGGTAAATAGAAGAGCTGAATGTATTCACCCATATAATTCCTTTATTTATCTCTATATTTAAAAAAAAAAAAAAGAGCATGAAGGGTACTAGCAATACTACAAGCATAATAACAACTGTAATTCTTATGTAGTGGTTATTGGCAAGGAATCTGTGAGTCCAGTTAACTTTTCTTTTCTTTTTTGTTAATCTATTTTCAACACCTAAACCCCCCCTCCTGCAACTGTGATAACATTTAAATTTGACTTCAGCATTATACATGAAAATACGTCCCATTTTGGCAGAAATGATAGGCTGTAAGATCTGTGGGGTCTAGAGTTTGTAGTGTATTACTGCTTTTCATTCATTCATGGGTTGTACTGCAGCAGCTGCAGAGACAAGCTGAGTACCAGGAGGACCCTGTCCTGGTTTTTGTCAAAACACTAACAGTTGAACAAAACAGGCTGCATCAAAATACTTACAGCACCATAGCAATGGCAATAAGCTATAATAGTACTTAAAGTGCACCTTTAAAGCGATACAGGGTTGTCTGTCAACATGCACCTGTACAATTATATTGAATTATAATAGAACATTTGTCTAATGTGCTTCTATAATCTGTTCCTATGGGTCAGGCATAGAAGCTTCTATGTTTTTATAATCCTCATATGCAGTTCCGTCTTTACTCATCCTTGTATCTTTTCAAAGACTTCCCTTATTTCCCATAATCCATACAATCACCACATGCACTGCAAATAAGTGGTATACCTTTTACGCCACATTATTATTTTAAGTTTATATTTATATTTCTTAAAAATTTAACACATTTTTGGCTTTTGTCCAATGTCCTTAATCTTAATAAAATCCAGCATATGCCTATCATTTTATTTGATTGTTTTGGCATATTTTGTGCTTCTTCATATTATTTGGAATTTCTGACTTACACGTCCTTCCGAGATTTGGTTTGTGACTTCAAATTCAGGTTTCTGTTTGTAATACTGATCATGGCTAGTTTAATGGATTATCCTTGTCTTCTTCTGGCCCTGACTTTGGAATACTATTGACCTTGATCATAATTGCTAATTCTGCTTGTGGTGAAGATTATTCCCTACACCTTAGAGAGCGATTATCTGTCCATTCCACACCACTATCACACAATTGTAGCTATTGAGTTCAGCTACCTGCAAGCATAACAGAAGTAGAACCTATACTTTACATACGACATAAACATTAATCATTCGATATTGATGCAGCCTCTCAATAAATAATAAATAGGATTGTCTTCTTACAAAAAAATTTGGTTTTGATTATTTTAGCTTTTTTATTTTTTTTGCGTTAGTCTGTTTTGTTTTTCTTCCAGTATTTCATTTTTTTCCATTTGTATAAGTTCAATGCTAGTTATTGCTTCTAAGTAACTAGGAAGATATTGAATAAGGTTAAAGCACTCAAGGACAAATAATTGCAGGTCATTTCTTCACTGACAACATTTGATGGATAGTTAAATGTTCATGCAAAAGAAAAGGAAATCACTTTGTTTATAGATCAGTTGATTTTTTTCCCTGCCATCCTTTTAATTTATTCTTTGTTTTCCAGATATCTTAACCTTGGTAACACCTTGTCTGTTATGCTTCTCTCCGTCTTTCTTTATTGTGGGCAAGCCATTAAAAGTGAATGTGGATAAATAAAATATTGGAACAAGGGGAAATAAAACAATGAGTGAAAGAGGAGAAGACAATGGCACACTTAGTTGAGTAATACAAAAAGATTAAACCAAATACAAAGAAGATATAATCAGTGCAAAAGTCATTAAAATCAAGGGGACTGAAATGATAGGTATTAATTCATAATAATAAAATGTTATACACTCCATGCAAAATGTACAAGAAACTCTAAAAAGTGCAATATAATTCCAATTATTGGTTGTTGTAAGTGTTTATGGGTATCACAGTGGGATGCAAAAAGCCAAACATGTTTCTTGCATAATTAACATTGAGTAAGAGCAATTCTGCACAAAACATGTTTGGCATTTGGCTTCCCACTGTGGTACCTACAAGCACTTATAACAACCAATAAATGAATTTGCATTCTTATGGTTGCAGTGAATTTTTCTAAATTTTGCAACTTAAACCTGGTGTAAAATTGAACAAAATGTACTGTATATAATATTCATTTGTAATAGCTTTCAACACCAATATGGACAACAACAGCCAAAGATCAAAGTGTAGGCTGCAGAGCTTATTTGGCTAGCGAGTCCGAATCCATGGACTTATTTTGAATGTATGTGAAGTACGCAGTGAGATTGAATCATTGGACTGTACCTCTTCCATTTTCTTTAATAAAAATGAGACTGGCCTTGACCTTACATTTATATAGAGTTATTGCACTGTTTGTTCAAGGCATTTTGTCTTTTGTTGATATCACACACATTACTTTGCCTCAGTGTTGTCAGTCTGACCAGCCAAATACATAAGTATGAGTTATTGTACTATAATAGAACAACCTAATTTTCACTCTTTACTGCTTCGTAATCTTTATATCATCGCTTGTCTATGTAATAATAAGAAACGCATAAAGGAGAAGGATAAACCATCTTAATGCAACATAAAGTTAAATACACTCTCTGTGTAATAGAGTAACTTCCATGAGGGTTCGTTAATACATTGTGTCTCTGCAGTAGAATCTCTAAGTTGCTAGATCATTTCGCAGTGCACGACCGACCCTTATCACAGTGAAAGGGTTAAGATTTCTGTATAATCTGTCACCCCCTGCCAGAGCTCGTATTAAACACGAAGATAAAAGAAAGATCACGCTGCAAATTGAACTGTTATTGCTAGAATTGTTGTATTATTTATAAGGCTTCGACAGTGTACACAGTCATTTTACAAATTAGAAAATGAAGAAGTCCGTAGAGCAGTCGGTAATTAACTCAAGTCCAACCAAGAAAATTTGAAAGGAGAAGAATCTTACATTTTTTAGTATTGCCCAATGGTAATTGACGTGTAAATCACCCTTTTTTTTTTACATTTCCTTTTTTATTCTCTTGTAATTTTTGCGCTTAATGTATATCTATCTTATGGGTGGGAAGGAAACCTTATGAATGAATGGACTTTTCCCTCAGCCGTCGATGTTGTTTCGTGATGGAGACAGGGTTTTAATATATCACTGTGATAAGTCCAATGTATTTCTTACCAGTAGGCAACATCGTATACTTGTTTGTCTCTAGAATAATAGACTGTCATGCCACAGCCCAAGCTAATATTTCTGTGTAACATTATGTGATATATGAAGGCTGCAGTGTCGTCTCCTTCTAATTAAGTATTTCCTCTGTCATTTGGTTTGTTGTGTCTCATGACTTATGCTGCTTTTTTCTTTTTTTCTCCAATCTTATTTTTCTTTTTTGTCTTGCGACTCCTCTAAGCTCTTCATCCCCTTTCATACA